ACGATTGCAGCGATAACTGTCAAAAGAGGGGAAATGTTTAAACACGAAGGCTGCTATTAACGTTTGGCAAGACGACAGAGCCGACTAAATTAGTTCTCAGTGCAGAAAATGACATGCAGAGCAGAAGGAGCGGAAGATAGGAGGAGGGGGGGGGGGGGGGGGGGAAAAACCACCATCACAAAGAGGACAAGTGACCACAACTAGCAGCAGGACCTTTGAAAATCAAGATCCTTAACCCTTTAAAGCCTGATCCAAGAATAAGACAAAACAGAAAATTATATATTTTTTGGTTTGAATTCCTTATTTGGCCTTTTAACGAAGTATGTAAAAAGAAAAAACTGAAATACGTTTTTATATTAATAATTTATTACTATGGGATAAGTCAAGATTTTTTTTTGTGTAGTCTTCTGCCCCCTGTTATCAGGTGTATCTGATTGTGTACAATAGGATTTTGAGCAAAGTTTTTATCAATAAATTATGCAAAAGGAGTCAGACGCAAAACATTTCAGAAACCATATGAATCAAATATGATACATTTGGCATTACAGGGTTAAAGGAACAACTGGGTGCTTCTTCTGGATGCTTCCAACCGCCTCTTCTGCCACTAGTTTCCTGCATGGGGTCCGCCATTTTAGAGAGATAGTTTTAAAAATAAGCCTTTCATTGACTCTACAGAGCATAAAAAATCACATGGACACATAAAGGAAGGAAAGACAAGCTTTAGATCAGTGGTTCCTAAACTTTTCACAGCCCTTCAGACATCTGACATCCGGCCATGTAGCCCTCTTTGTTTTTGACACAGTGAACAGTTACTCCAGTTTGTCTAATTATACGCCAACTTAAAAATGTACCAAGCTAGTCAAAGTGCACTGCAGAACTGGAGGAAGAGGCTATGAGGCTAATCCAGAAATCGGATATCCCAAATTTAAAGGATCAGTGTGTTTGAGATGCAACTTTTTTTCTTTAAAATGACTGAGACATGCACAGGAATCAACTTTAAGATACAACCTAACCATTTCATGCTGTTTTCATCATATTTGGTGCTCAGATTTCTGAGACCTTTTGCAGTTATATGGGATATTTCCTTTTTTGCATATTAGTTTATAGTAAAATAAAAAATTAAAAAATATGGAAATAATATATATTTGTGTTCCATTGAACGAGTATTTTGTTTTAGTGTTTATGGTCAGGCTTCATGTGTTCCGGGTTAAGTTGCGTATAGACAGTTAAATCTCCAGTGTTTGTGTAGTTTGGTACCAAACTCACCGTCTCTCCGGTTGAGTTTGGCGAACCCCGGGGCGTGGCTGCTGGACAGCTGGGACGAGCTTCTGAAGGACGACGGCGGCAGGCCGGACACCAGCGCGCCGTCACACACCTCTGCACACCAACAACAGAGCAAAAGATCAGGTCAAAACAGGAAATCAGTCAATTAAATTAACTTTTATTTATATAGCGCCACATCACAACAACAGTTGTCTCACAGCGCTTTCCAAACAGAGCAGGTCAGACCCTACTCTGAAGTTAACTACAGAAACCCAACAATTCCCACCACGAGCAAGCACTAGGCGACCCAGGCAAGGAAAAACTTCCTTTTAACGGGCACAAACCTGGAGCAGAACCATGGCTCAACACATATAATTGATGAAAAATGGCAATGATATTGATACTAATGATAATGATAGAAGTTATGACAGCAATAACACTATACAGAGTAGTAGCAGAGCAGGAACACGGGGGCAGCAGGAAACTCCCAACCACAGATCGATGTGCAGATTTATGGAAGAAGCGAATAACCTTCATCCCCTGGACAAAAAACAAAACAAAGAATCACACCCTCTGATATCTGGATGGACCTCCTTCAGCTTTGATTTCAGCCTCATTCTCTGCAGCTTTAGGGTCACAGATTTATTTCCATCCAGGTCTGGTTGCTGGTTGAGGGTCCAGCCTCTGAGGGTCCAGAACCAGGACCTGGATGAGTCTCCTCACATCAGGTTGGGTTAAATAGCTCGTTTCGAGCTGAAAGATGCTGGAATGATCCAACAGGAAGCTTTTTGTTGAGTTAAATCCAGGTGGTGATGTGTTCATTGTACATGACCTGCTGATCCAGCTTGGGAACACTTCAACACGCAACCCTGGAGTTGAACTACCAGCCTCTTACGCAGCCCGCTGCCTCATTAATGTGTCAGTGATAGCTAATAATGGGATGCTGATGATTCAAAACTGCAGAGGGCGGATTTAATCAGACTGGAAAACTTGAAGTGTTAATTTTCTCAGGTGGAAACAGGTCTTTTGGCTAAAATAGCTGCACGTCAGATGAGTGAATGGTGTAATTTTGCCTGGATGGATGAGTTAATGTTTCAAACGTGTGGCGTTGTGGAGATGTGCGGCGTCCTGACTGACTCATTGCAGGCTGATGGAGATGAATCAGGGCTGTCAGAGGAAGTCTTTACACATTTAAAGATGACTGGAGTCATTAAAAAATAAAGACACCTTGCATTATGTGATCATTTCGGCTAATTACGCTCTTTTTATGTCCTCCTTTTCCATCACAGAAATGATTCCGCACAATAAAGCCAACAGAATGGAAAAGCACAAAACACCAATATGTGATTTTTTAAAACAAAGAGCTGAGGCTCCAAAGAAAACCCCAGCAGAATGATCCAGGTCCACATCTCTGACAACGTGGCTTTAGCTCCAATTACTCCGTCAACATCAGGGCACTTCACGTCAAAAACAAGCCGCCTCTCGATATCCACCACAGCGGAAACCCACAACATTTACAGAACCACTGTCAAGTGCACTTTGAAGCACGATTTACCAAAAGCGCTGCATTTCTCACTCAGAGTTAAACGCAGGCGGGAAACATTACTCACCGCTCCACGTTTCACCTGATAGTTAGACTTTAACACTTTTCCCTCATTTCAAACCACATCTTCTAGGAGGTGTTTGTACTCTACTGTCGAAATTCAGAGCGTAAGGTATCTTATGGGCAACGTCTGGAACATGGCCGCCATCTTGGAAGCCGCCATGTTGGATCAGGGGCAAGTTTTTATTTTATGTGGGAAAGTGGTCATGTAGCATGTGAAAGAAGACCAGAATTGTCTCAGAGGTTGATTTCAGCCATCAGATTTGAAACATTTCTTTATGTTAAAATGTTAACAGCACAGGGAACGTTCCCCATGATCCACATTGAGCACAATGACCCACTATGGCACCAAAATACCTTTCTGACATGTTAGAGCCATACGAACCAGCTCGGACTTTGAGAACCTCAGGTTCTGGTTTCCTGATGGTTCCCAAAGTCAGAACTAAACAAGGTGAAGTTTCATTTCAGTTCCATGCTCCTAAAATCTGGAACAGACTTCCTGAAGATTTGAGACGGGCTTCAACTCTGAATGTTTAAATCCAGGCTGAAAACGCTTCTGTTTAATGGAATTTGAATCTATTTTATCTGCACCCTTTACTTTTCATCTGTTTAATTTGTATTATTTTTCTTTTCTTGCTTTTCTGCTTTTAAATTCTCTGTGAAGCACTTTGAATTGTCTTGTACAAGTATTGTGCTGTACAAATAAACTTGCCTTGCCTTGCCTACAGCGGCTTTGAGGATGACAGCCCTGTTCTAGGCTGAATTAAGCGTCTTGCTAAAGAAGAGACAGAAGTGTAGCTTGTGTTTGACTCATAATCTGGTTTTCAGTTTGTTTACAGTCTAACCAATCTGTTTAGTTATCATGGATTAGTCCAGCTGCAGGACTCTGTAATACAGAGCTCCAGTTCCAGCTCCTCTTGACGGTTTCTGTCACGCTTTCACCGACTGGGGGTGGTCTGGGAGCGCCCGATGCTAAAAGCCGGTGAATTACCGTCGTCTGAAGGGGAATGAGAGAGACAGCTCTCTGATACAGAGTGCTGTAATCCTTGAGGAGATAATGTGTGGTGAGAGGTGACACTCAGAGAGAGAGCTGTGTGCAGCTAAAAACACCCCTCCAGCTAACCTCCGAGGGGCTTTGGCATTTAAGGGCCTGGAGCCGTGACCAGTGGTGCACAAACACAGACAAGCTCCCGGGAAAATGGAAGTAAAACGCCGAATACCTGCTGGCCTCTGCAGCCACTGACCCTCAACACTGACCCCGACTATGTCCAAAAGCCCTCCTCTCTCTGTCTGTGTGCCAGCGTCGACATTTGATGCCAGACCTGGTAAATAACACTTTTCTCCTGACATTTACGGCCTAAGCGTCCAGGTTTGTTAGCTAACAAAACGTCTAGTAACCGTGTTATACAAAATGTGGTTTAGAAAAATGGGAAAAGTCCTTATTTGTTATTTGTTTGGCTGAAAACGGAACAGCCAGTGCATCACATTTACAAAATCAGTTTTGGAATAAAGATTTTTTACTTAATTGATGTCAAATATACACTATATTGCCAAAAGTATTTGCTCACCCATCCAAATTATCGG